GGTCCTGGGGCCGGGCGGGCGGGGGCCGGGACTTCTGGGTCCCAGGGAGTTGGGGTTCGGACTGCCGAGTCCTCCAGGCAGGGAAGCAACGGACTCCGTCCTCTCTCCTTTCTCCACTCCCGACTTACAAACGCGAGCTCCGTGCGGCGTGGGAGGGTCCTCGTCGGAGCTGCTGTGAAGAGAAGGCGTGGAGCGAGCAGGGGGCTTGACCATCGCGTGCCCCGATCGCTCTCCCAGGACCCCAGTGTCCAGCCACCGGTCACCTCCCCCGCCGCCCCCCCAGGACCAAACTCCTCCTCCCCCTTTTGGGGTGTGATTCCTGCTCCCCCACCCCCGGGCCTCCTCCATCACCTCCCTCCCAGCACGAGTCTCCCACGTGTGTCTCAGGTGGTGGCCGTAGCGGCGCGCGACCTGAGCCGCGCGAAGGAGTTTGCACGGAAACATGACATCCCCAAGGCCTACGGGTCCTACGAGGAGCTGGCCAAGGACCCGGACGTGGCAGGTGCAAGGTCCGCGGGATGGGCCCGGCCTTTGGACTTGGGGAGGGACCTCGGCTGGGAGACGGGCCATAGGCAGGGCTTTGGTCTGGGGTTTCCTCCTCTGCTTGCCCTTCTCCGTTTCCTTATTTTTATTTTTATTATTTTTAATATATCTTTTTATTAATTTCAGAGAGGAAGGGAGAGGAAGAGATAGAAACGTCAGTGATGAGAGAGAATCATGGGTCAGCTGCCTCCTGCACGCCCCCTACTGGGGACCGAGCCCGCAACCTGGGCTTGTGCCCTTGACCGGAATTGAACCGTGACCTCGGGGTTCATACGTGGACCCTCAACCACTGAGCCACACCAGCTGGGCTCAGTTTCCTTATTTTTAAAACGGGCAAAATGGCCCGGCCGGCGTGGCTCAATGGTTGAGCTTCGACCTATGCACCAGGAGGTCACGGTTCAGGGCACATGCCCAGGTTGCAGGCTCGATCCCCAGCAGGGGGCGTGCAGGAGGCAGCCGATCCATGATTCTCTCTCATCATTGATGTTTCTCTCTCTCTCTGTCCCTTCTTCTCTGAAATCAATAAAAATATATTAGCCCTAACCGGTTTGGCTCAGTGGATAGAGCATTGGCCTGCGGACTGAAGGGTCCCAGGTTCGATTCCGGTCAAGGGCATGTACCTTGGTTGCGGGCACATCCCCAGTAGCGGGTGTGCAGGAGGCAGCTGATCGATGTTTCTCTCTCATCGATGTCTCTAGCTCTCTATCCCTCTCCCTTCCTCTCTGTAAAAAATCAATAAAATACATTTAAAAAAATAAAAATATATTTAAAAACAACAACAACAACTAAAACGGGCAAAATAATAGTATCTCCCGGTTGGTGTTGTGAGGATTCAGTGATTTCGTGTCATTGCAGGGCGACAAGGATCTGAGAGGAGGGTGATGGTAGCCAGTGGTAGCTCCTTCCTCTGGGAGACTAGGGTTTGACCAAGGCGGTAGGGCTTGGTCCCAGGTTGGGGGGTGAGGGGTACCCTGATTCCTTGGATGCTGGAGGCGAGCCTTGGGGACTTGGCGGGGCTTCTGACCTCTTGACCCCCTTCCTCTCACCCTAGAGGTGGCCTACGTGGGCACCCAGCACCCGCAGCACAAGGCCGCCGTGTTGCTGTGTCTGGCGGCAGGCAAGGCCGTCCTGTGCGAGAAGCCGATGGGCGTGAACGCCGCGGAAGTGCGAGAGATGGTGGCGGAGGCCCGATCCCGAGGCCTCTTCCTTATGGAGGTGAGAATGGAGCGGCTCTTTCAACATCCCAGACAGCTCCCTGCCTTCACTAACCATGGTCGCCCGTGGACATTTTTGGAGGGACACAAGGGAGGGGTTGACCACGAGTTAAGATGACCACAACATGGCCCGGCCCGTGTGGCTCAGTGGTTGCGTGTGGACCTAACACCCAGGAGGTCACGGTTCGATTCCTGGTCAGGGCACATGCCCGGGTTGCAGGCTCCATCCCCAGTGGGGGGTGTGCAGGAGGCAGCCAATCAATGATCCCCTCTCATCATTGATGTTTCTATCTCTCTATCCCACTCCTCCCTTCCTCTCTGAAATCAATAAAAGTACATTTCAGGCAACACCGTTCATGGGCGGGAGACACGGCTTTGGGCCCCTAGCCCTCAGCCACAGGCATTCTTTGTGTTTGGCCTTATCGGGCTCGGATGTACGCAGGGGACTCGGACATCTTGCAGATTGTTAGCAATTCAAGTGGCTGCCACAGGGCCTGAGCAGTGCTGGAGTTAAGATGGCCACCTCGTGGTCCCTAGAAGCTATTTTAGTGTTAAGGAATATTATGGTGTGTGTTTTTTTAATTTATTATGTTTTAAAATATGTTTTTATTGATTTCAGAGAGGAAGGGAGAGGGCGAGAGAGATAGAAACATCAACAATGAGAGAGAATCCTTGATCAGTTGCCTCCTGCACGCCCCACACTGGGGATCGAGCCGGCCACCCGGGCATGTGCCCTGACCAGGAATCGAACTGTGACCTCCTGGTTCATAGGTTGACACTCCTCCACTGAGCCACGCCGGCCGGGCTATTATGGCTTTCATACCTTGTAGGTTCTGACAGTAGTAGCAACAGCTGCCTCTTACTTCCCCACGCCCTACGGAGCTGTCATATGCCTACTCCTGCGGAGCCTCCCGGTCCGTAACGTTCCATATGCCCGAGAAGTGGTCAGGATTTATCAGGGTGACTCAGGGCCTCTGGTTTGCAATGTGCCTGCCAGCGCCAACATTCTGTGAGTTTATTGCTTCCTCGTTTTTTTTATTGGCCCCTAATGTGTGCCACATCCAACCCGAGGACCTGGGAACTCATAAGGTATAAGACGCAGGTTCAGTTTTCAAGGAGTTCAAGGTCTGCTGTGGTCCCGGAAATGGGCAAGCCCAGTGCTCAGCTGCATGGACTTTTGTGGACCTAGTACTGGGCGGGCAGTCGACAGAGAGCCCGGTCAGGGGGTTGGTCAAGGAGCTTTTCCTACAGGGAGGGACTGGCCTGAGCCTTAAAGGGAAAGTCAGTTGCACAGGTAAAGAGGCCAGATGGGGGAAGCGGAAGCAAGATTTAAAGAAAACCATCGTGGGCAGATTTCAACTATTTAGTATGAACTTGATCCTGGATTAGTCAGGATTCCTGGCTTTCGAGTCAGAGGATTCTGGACTCCAGTTTCCCAGTTCCTGGCTCTGTGACCTTGGGCAAGAAACATGACTCAGCGGAGCTTCAGTTTTCTCACGCGTGGAATGGGCATGAGGACAGCTACCTGGCAGGGACGTTGGGAGGATTCATGATGTAAAACTGTGCACAGTGTCTTGTACAGAACACACACAGCCGACAAATGGGAGTTGGTATCCGGCGATGGGGGACCCTAGAGGGGGGCTGGGCAGTGGGGAGGCTGGATCAGCTCCGGGAGACGCGAAGACCCCTCTGGGGCCACGTGGGACACGGACTGCAGGGGAGAGGCGGGGAGTAAGGTTCGCTAGAGCCGCCATAACAAAGGCCAGACTGGGTGGCTTAAACAACAGAGATACTGTAGCCTCTCACACATCTGGAGGCTGGAAGTCTGAGATACAGGTGTCAGCAGGGCTGGTTTCTCCTCAGGCCTCTCTCCTTAGCTTGTAGATGGCCATCTTCTCCCTTTGTCTGCACACGGTCTTGCCTCTGTGCATGTGTGTGTCCTCATCTCTCTCTCTTTTTTTAAAAAATATAGTTTTATTCATTTCAGAGAGGAAGGGAAAGGGAGAGAGAGAGATAGAAACATCAATGATGAGAGAGAAATATTGATCGGCTGCCTCCTGCATGCCCCCTACTGGGGATCAAGCCCACAACCAGGGCATGTGCCCTTGACCTGAATCGACCCCTTCAGTCTGCAGGCCAGTGCTCTATCCACTGACCCAAACCAGCGAGGGCTTCATCTCTTCTTATAAGGACACTAGTCCTACTGGATCCGGGCCCACCCTCAAGACCTCATTGTAACTTAATTGGCTCTTTATAATTACCTCTTTAAAAACCCTATCACCAAATACACTCACATTGGGAGGCACTGGGGGGTTAGGACCGCCACATGAATTTGGTGGGGACAGAATTCAGCCCATAACATTGGGAGACTGGGGTAATGATACAGATAAGACAGGACAAGGCTGGCCCTAACCGGTTTGGCTCAGTGGATAGCGCGTCGGCCTGTGGACTGAAAGGTCCCAGGTTCAATCCCGGTCAAGGGCATGTACCTTGGTTGCGGGCACATCCCCAATGGGGGGGTGTGCAGGAGGCAGCTGATCGATGTTTCTCTCTTATCAATGTTTCTAACTCTCTATCCCTCTCCCTTCCTCTCTATAAAAAAAAAAAAAATTAATAAAATGTATTTTTTTTTAAAAAAAAAAAGAAAGGACAAGGCTAGAGTTGGGGACCTGGGTGTCAAGAGCAGGGGAGAGGGCAGAGAGCCGGACAGGACACAACTTGGGGACTGATGGGCTGTGGAAGGAAGGGGGAGGGTCTAGTTTGGAGACTGGGTAACAGTGGGTACCCCTTCAAGATTGAACCCCATGGGGGGAAAAGGAGACATATGTAATAAATTTACTTTCAACGATAAAAAATTTAAATAATAATAATAATAAAAAAGATTGAACCCCAGAAGGGAGAACTGGTTGGTTAACTAACTCCTGACCCCTCTCTTCCCCTTTCCCATCCTGCTTTCTCCCCTCTGTGGGCCTCAGGCCATCTGGACCCGATTCTTTCCTGCCGTAGAGGCTCTGCGGGCTGCTCTGGCCCAGGGAACTCTGGGGGACCTTCGAGTGGCTCGCGCAGAATTTGGGAAAGACCTCACTCACGTACCGCGGGCCGTAGACTGGGCCCAGGCTGGCGGCGGCCTGCTGGACATTGGTATCTACTGCATCCAGTTCATCTCCATGGTCTTCGGTGGGCAGAAGCCGGAGAAGATTTCAGCCATGGGAAGGCGCCATGAAACAGGTATGGTCTGTTCTGGACGGTATGGTGGTGATCAGAGTGATCCTCTCTTACTGGGTGCACTGACCTGGGAATAAGTCTCCTAGCCCATGAACACCAGGCGAGACTGCTGGAGAAATTTCCTGCAAGAAGTTAAAGAGGAGCAAGTATGGTCAGGCTCTGTATTAGGATTTTGCTGTGTGATCTTAGTCAAGGAACTCCATCTCTCTGAGTCTTAATTAGTTACTTACTGAACCACGTCCAGCCACGTCCAGCCACGTCCAGCTCGGCCAGTGGTGAACCTGAGGAGGGCCGGGGGGAGGGGGGGGCGGGGGGCGGTGAAGGATTAAAGAAAACAGACAAGAGACTATAGCTGGGCCCAGGTGGATCACTGTGCCTGGATGAGGAAACAGAGACACAGCCTGTAAGCCGAGCCTTTATTTTATAGTCAGAGCAAAACAAGGGAGTGGTCAAGATGTTTACAATGTCCTTGAGTTTCAAATCTACTTAATTACAGGCACCTGAGAACTCTATCAAGCTTTGTTTTGGCAGCACCTGCTGCACCTCCCACAGCCCACAGCCCTCAGCAACCTGGGACCACAGGGTCGGACCATAAGGTCAAGCTTACAACCATAGCCTTTGGCTATAATTGTGCTGGGAGGGCTTTGCCCTCCAAGCTGGGACTTGTATGTGGCTTTGCCACAAGAGGACCGTGCCCTCTCATCAGTCTGAGGCTTGAACCTGTCCAAACGCTGTAGCCGCTCTCCACAACTTACTGGTGAAATTTCAATAATAGGGTTGTTATAAAAAGTTAATGAAGTAACTGTTGAGGCAAATTAAGCAGTACATAAATACAAAGGATTATTATTTTTGAAGTTGTCTCAGTTAGCCTCTGCTGCATAACAAACTACCCCAAAATGTAGTGACCTCAGATAACAATCATTTATTCACTTGTGATTCTGTGGGTTGGCCATTGGGCTGGGCTCAGCTGGAGCGGTTCTTCTGCTGGTCTTACTCATGCAGCAGCCATCAGCAGCTGTGCCACTGGAGCTGGATGGTCTAGCCCAGGGGTCCTCAAACTTTTTAAACAGGGGGCCAGTTCACTGTCCCTCAGACCGTTGGAGGGCCGGACTATAGTTTAAAAAAAAACTATGAACAAATTTCTATGCACACTGCACATATCTTATTTTGAAGTAAAAAAACAAATGTTTTCGGCGGGCCGCATGTGGCCTGTGGGCCGTGTAAGCCAGTGGTCGGCAAACTGCGGCTCGAGAGCCACATGCGGCTCTTTGGCCCCTTGAGTGTGGCTCTTCCACAAAATACCACGTGCGGGCACGCACGTGCAGTGCGATTGAAACTTCGTGGCCCATGCGCAGAAGTCGGTATTTTGTGGAAGAGCCACACTCAATGGGCCAAAGAGCTGCGTGTGGCTCACGAGCCGTGGTTTGCCGAGCCGCAGTTTGCCGACCACTGGTCTAGGCTAGGAGGTCAGTGGTTCTCAAGTTTGGCTGCACATTTTTTGTTGTTGTTGTTAATCCTCGCCCGAGGATATTTGTCCATTGATTTTTAGAGAGAGTGGAAGGGAGGGGGAGAGACAGAGAGACAGAAAGAGACATCAATGTGAGAGCGACACATCGATTAGTTGCCTCCCGGGGCCAGGGATCGAGCCTGCAACCAAGGGATCAAGCCTTCAGTCTGTGGGCCAACTCTCTATCCACTGAGCCAAATTGGCTAGGACTGGAGGTCATATTTTAGAAAGCTGCCTCAGTCTACTATCTGGCCAATTTCTAGGCTAAATAGTAGCTCTAACAGATCCCATTTATTAAGTGCTTCCTCTGCAACAGGGTTTTATTATAGGTACTAGGGGCCCAGTGCATGAAATTCATGCACGGGTAGGGTCCCTAGGCTTGGCCGGTGATCAGGGCCGATCAGGGCCTTCCAGCTGCCGGCCAGGGCCTTCCTTCCTTCTGTGCCGCCCCCTGGTGGTCAGCACACATCAAAGCAAGCGGTCAAACTCCCAGTGGGTCGAACTCTCCAGGGGACAATTTGCATATTAGCCTTTTATTATATAGGATGATCTCCCTGAGGTAAATATATTACAGTTGTCCCCATTTTACAGATGAGCAAACTGAGGTTCAGGGACAGGAAGTGACTTGTCTAGGCTCACACAGCAGATCCAGAATTAGAATCTGGGCCTGTCTGAGACCAAAGAAAACTGGCTCAGAACTTCTTCCAGCCATTGCATGTCCGATGGGTCCCAGAACCAGGCTGGTACTTTACCGTGTTTAATTTTTTTGAAGCATTTAAAAAAAGTGTTTTTATTTATTTTAGAGAGAGAGGAAGGGAGAGGGAGAGGAACACTGATCAGCTGCCTCTCCCATGCCCGCTACTGGGGGTGGAGCCCACAACCCCAGGCACGTGCCCTGACTGGGAATGGAAGTTGCTACCTCTCGGTGAATGGGACAGCACTCAACCAACTGAGCCATGCTGGCTGGGGCTGTTTAACTTTTAACTAATGCTCACCTCTCTCTTATTCTGACCTGAATAGACTAAGTGCTTTATGCATTTTACATCCTTTAATGTAATGCTTATAGCAACTCTGTGAGGCCAGTTCCATTACCCTCATTTTAGAGACGAGGAAATGGATTCTCACACGCCTCTACAACAAGTATGTATGAGGAAGAAACTAAAGTTCAGAGAGGCAAAGTCTCTTTAATTTTTTTTTTTTTGTTAGCATTTATTTGTTTATGTGTTTTGGTAACAGCTTACTGAAAGAATTCACATACCATACAATTTATTCATTTAAAGTGTATCATTCCACTGAGCCAAACCGGTTTCGGCTTTAATTTTTTTTTTTAGCATTTATTTGTTTATGTGTTTTGGTAACAGCTTACTGAAAGAATTCACATACCATACAATTTATTCACTTAAAGTGTATCATTCCAGCCCAGCTGGGGTGGCTCAGTGGTTGAGCATCAACCTGTGGAGCAGAAGGTCATGGTTCCTTTCCTGGTCAAGGCACATGCCCAGATTGCATTCTATCTCTCTCTCCCTCTTTGAAATCAATATATATATATATATTTTTTTAAGTGTATCATTCCACAGCTTTAGTGTATTCACCATGTTATGCACTTATCACTAGAATCAATTTTAGAATATTTTTATTACTAAAATGCAAAACAATAAATAACCCAATTCTCCCACACCGCTGAGCCCTAAGCAACCACTCACCTACGTTCTGGCTCTATGGGTTCGCCAAATATTGGACATTTCACACAAATGGAGTCCTACCGCATGTGGCCTTTTGGGTGCGGCTCCATTCCCTCACCATGACTGTTTTCGGGGTTTCTCCCCAGGTGTGGACGACACTGTGACTGTGCTGCTGCAGTACCCAGGGGGCGTCCACGGCAGCTTCACCTGCAGCATCACCGCCCAGCTCTCCAACACGGCCTACGTGAGCGGGACCAAGGGCATGGCCCAGGTGAGGCGCTGCCAGCAGAGCTGGGATGGGGCCCTTAGCACAGGACTGGGCCATCTGAGGCTGTTGGAGCTGGACGTGGGCAGAACCTGTCTTTTCCCACCGTTGCTAAGAAACCCACCCTCCACCAGCAGGCCCCGTGATGGGGTCTGGACCTCGGGGCTCCTTCCTGAGGTGAACCCGTGGGCCTGTTAAAAACCCTTCGTCCTGATAAGAAACCAGTTCTTATCAGCCCTGCCTAGAGGGCAGTGGTGACCTTTGGAACTGCTCCCAGGACAGGATCCAGGGGTTACCACAGAGCGGCTTCCACGCGCTGCCTCTGGCCAAGTTGCTGGAAAGAAATCCTATTCTTAGCAGAAGAATTTGGGCCTTGCCCCAGCTGCATCTCTGCTTTTCCATTTCGGCCTAGAGTTGGGTCTGGGAATAAGCGAGGCCCCCAGGGCTCTGACCGGTTTGGCTCAGTGGATAGAGCGTCAGCCTGAGGACTCAAGGGTCCCAGGTTCGATTCCGGTCAAGGGCATGTACCTTGGTTGCGGACACATTCCCAGTAGGAGGTGTGCAGGAGGCAGCTGATCGATGTTTCTCTCTCATCGATGTATCTAACTCTCTATCCCTCTCCCTTCCTCTCTGTAAAAAGTCAATTAAAAAAAAAAAAAAAGCAAAAAAGCTAGGCCCCCAGGGCTCTGGAGCTAATAAAAAGTCTCCTGGTGGAGAGGAAGGTGCTGGATGGTGTCAAAGTGGAGCTGGAAAGCTAAGCATCTCCTCCAGGCTCCAGCATCCCCCTGGGGACAGGGACATGCAGGCTTCCAGTGAGATGAGACACACACTCCCAGCAACCAGGTTTGGGGGCTCCAACCTCCCTGAGGATGGATACGGGGCAGCCAGCCCTTGACCACCAGGTGAGGGAGGGAAGCCCCGAGCATCAGCAGGCAGGAGCCCCAGCCGCCCGGCTGGTGAGGGCAGTGAGGCCACCTGTTTTCTCGCCCCAGATCCTAGACCCCTGCTGGTGTCCAACAGAACTGGTGGTAAAGGGGGAGCGCAAGGAGTTCCCGCTGCCCCCAGCCCCAGGCAAGGAGTTCCATTTCACAAACGGAGCGGGCATGACTTATGAGGCCAGGCACGTCCGGGAGTGCCTGCGAAAGGGTAAGGACGTGCAAGGCTGGGGGTGGA